TTTACGCGTTTTTCACTTGTCTGTGACATCCTAAAATATATAACGTTCCGCAGAGGGAAGTCGCGTACTACATAAAATATTATATAGCATCATAATGTCTCTCAGAAAGTCACAAACGAAATAATGCACAGAATTTTCAATTGCAAACATTATATTGTGATATTGACACTTCAGACCAAAATGAATCTGTGTTCAGAGAAATATTATTCTATTATTATAATTACATAACACAACACTACTTCGACAGCTTAAGAAGTGGCATCTTTCTCCCCGAAAATAGTATGGACACGTTTCGTTAATGTTTCCCAAAACGATAACGAAACCAATAACATTGCTTAACCAACCGGCAAGGGGACGGCCAAGAATAACCAGGGGCAAGCGCCTCGATGGACTCTACGTCAGACTAGGTTACCTTCAGCCGAAGCTCAGTTAACAGGATCAAGAACATTGCAGACAGAGTTTGAAACCATTAGATTCAAAAAGATAAGCGGTCATCAAAACTAACTGCGCGATCATAATATAATTGTATCAGCACATTATACAGCATATCACAAGAGAGCAAAATAATTCCATGCCGACCAAAAAACGGTAGATAAATAAATACCATATGGATCAACGTCGTTTCGACCACGCCAGTGTTCACCGTGTTTATGCAAGCTTTTCATCGAAGGGACGATCGTTGCAGAATCAGCTACGTCAGTCACTCGATCGTATCTGGAAAAACATGACTCAGTAATGTTTGAAACGAATAATGTGAATCGTCAAGGTTTCAAACAGTAATAACACTGGGAACAGTTTCAACGGAGGAAGTGTACCTGAAATTCTTCGTAATGAAGAAGAGAGTATATCTGCGTATCCCTGAGTCAGAGAAACCCTTTATAGATCATTTTCCGACTGAAAAAGCACGAACAGGAAAAGACAGGTGTCGCCATAAACAACGAACATCGGCGTGGGCGAAAATCCCTGGATCTTCTGTGTATGTAAAGCGGTATCGTACATAAAAGGACTGTAGGTGATTTGTCGATTCACGGTTGAAGGCAGTATCCAACACAGATGTTGAACGTCATTACAAACGCGTTTCGAAACGCAAGCAGTAGCGTCTTCAAGACACAACTGATGCAGGAAGCAAGTTCACTTATATGCAGAATGGCTGCGGCATATCGACACCAGATCATAACCAGTATATTCCTAACTTTAAACTTTAGAGTTTAACCTCAGTCACCGATTGCATCATTCCAAACTTTCTCATCAAGTTGATCATAGCACTTCTCCTGTTACTTATCAAATGGAAAAAAAGTATTCATTACATAAACGATGTTTCAGGGTTAAAATACGTAGGGACTGATTTATCAAATAACCTCACTGATCCTTGTCGACGACATACGTATTCGCCTGACTGAAGCAATGTTCCTCAGAAACAGCTTTCAGCGCAACACTAGAGTAATGACTCCGCCATGGAGAAATGTAGGTAAGCGTTTATTAATCTGAATATCCAATTTCCGGTAAGTCTTACCTACGTATATCGTATCGCAGTCTCGGTAATTGATGCTGTAAACCACAGCGGTTGCTCTGAGTATACTTTTTGAAACAAAAGCACCCTTGAGTCGCGCCGATTTTCTAGTAAACCCTAAACCCCAGCGTGTGACAGCAACTTTTAAATGGCTGAGACACTCTGGGTAGGCTGGACAAAATTACCATAGGTCTGTCATGACTAGGCTTCATCTAGTTGCGCTTAGGGTATAAAAGTTCACTATCCAGCTTCCTCCATGAATACCAATTCTTCAGGATTACTTGATAAAGGCGGAATACTTAATCCAGTTGCAACATGGAGCCGTCAGCAAGAAATGACCTCTTACAGACATGACCACAGCTACGTGGCAAGTATAGCATACAGCCTGCTGCTTCCTTCCCTGCAAAACGGAATTCATTTATCTATTTTGGAAGAATGAATGGCAAGTGATCTATTTGGGGCTATCGAATCGAGAGCCTCTAGACCCGGAGCTCGATGCTATACTGACTCAACAACATCCGTTAAGAGAATATGACTAAAGCCTTTACGCAATAATGCTGAATTTGTCAATATATGATGGCATTACTAAGCAGTTTTAAAATGCTGCGCAAACATGATAATATGCAAAGAATTCAAATGATGTATTATAAAGGTCCAAACTTACTTTGTCTGAAAATCGGCGCCTTTGTTGTTTTCTACGTAAATGCGTGCCTTGACACCGTCTGGAGGAAGATGATTTCGAACCAATGGCTTGGCGTTTAAACCAGTGTCCGAAACATCTGAGTCTAAACCATGCAAAATCCCATAGAACACTGCTTGAAGAAAAGGAAAAAATTTCGCCTTCTCTCACCGCAGTTCCATTCGTCACTGCCATCCGAACACTGAGGAATACCGTCACAGCGGTCATAAGTCGCTACGCACTCGGAAACCTTCTCACAAGGCCACTGATATTCGCCGCAGTCTGAAACAGCAAAAAAAGGTTTTATAAGATAAAGTGTAGTAAAAAAACACAAAGTAAAATGAGTTTGACAGAAAGCTGCAGAGAAACATATTCGAATAAACAATCACGGGTGATGATCGCAATCTGAAACTCATTCAAAGTGAAAGTCGAATCACTTCTGCCGGTTTTAATTTATATATATATAGACTTGCATATACAACGATTTATTTCAAAAACTAAAACTGTAGTCACATTCTCAGGTGCTTTTACGGGTGACCAGGTCTGAATAAGGAAATGGTTCGATGCTACGGCAGCCAGTACACATATTATATCGATAGTAACTTCTATCGTTGGTTTCCAGAGCTATAAAGTGACTGATCAACAGAGCAGACGTAGTCGATCGGGCACAGAGAAAGCAAACCGATTCGCTTTTTTGCTAATTTTTCTAAGTGTAAACTGTGTACTGTAAACTGTAACTGTGTCCTTTCAGTACAAACACGACTAGAGATTGAGACAGCTTTTCATGT